ATATATATATATATATACGTACGTGTTCCACACCGTACGTCTGTTTCCTCTATATTGTTGAGTGGATTTTCCCATTGAGGTTATTGATGATAATTCAGGGCTTCTTGGCGAGGAAAAAAGCGTTCTAGAGGAATTTTGCATAAAATTTTGGTTTAAGGTGAGTAGCAATTAACTGACACTGATCTCTTTACTTCACATTCAAATTTGATGTCGATGGCCAAAGTCTATAAACCATAATTTGCTTTAGCTTCCCAACCCTCCACCCCCAAATTCTGCGAACGCGAGTTGACGTTAACGTCCGGCCAGAACTCAGAGAAATGGGCCTATCCAAAATGGCCAGCTAGATTTGTTAATTCTCAAATGATTGAATTCTGCATGTCAACACACTCTAAGGATAGGCATATTAATCACTTCTTTCAAGTATGTAGATGGTTTTGGTAACTGACTTTTAAACTCATTAGCTCTCCATATATCGCCCGAAATAAATTCTACCGAGCATTCGATTGATGATATGATTGACAAAATTGCTAATTTCTATTTCGACCTGACCCCACCACAGAGAGGAAGACAAAAGACTACTCTGCCACGCATCGGAAGTGCAATATCGACAAGTCCTCTTCATGTCATAACCATGGCAAGTCCCGACATGATCATCACTTTGCCCCATCGAACAGGGAAGTTCAATGATTGACTTCGTCGGTATTATTTCGAGAAAAATTAGCAGATTTTTGAGTACTTTATAACAGTGAGCCCGAGAGCACTTTGCAACAGCTTCCTTAGGGGTCTTCCTCACTGCTGTATTGTCACTGTTCAATTGTCATCCAATTAGCAAACCAGTCAAACAAAGCCTGATTGAGCGGCTGCATACGCACTGCATTCCCCCCCCCCACTCTTTTTCTAAAGATTCGATCAGCTGAAGCCCGAACATTACTTCGATGGATATAAGGTACTAGATAATGTATACTAGTGGATAACTCATTTCTACACCACAAAAAGTCCATACGCCATTGTAAGCCAATCAGAATTGAATATCAATTTAAGAGATTTTAGGAGAGAAATGAGCCGATTTAAAGGGAAATTTTTACATTTTCTACATTCACATGAATCACCTGTTAAATAACATCTTTTTTCTACAGGCACTCTGCCACATTTGCAGTCACATAGTAAAAGTAGTAATGTGAACCGCAAGTCCAATAAAGTTTATACAAGTGTCACCATTACGCATCGTCATCCTCTTGATCCTTTTGTGGTGGTGACGATTCTTCAAGATGATCTCTGAAATTGACGGAGAAGACTTCGTCTATAGGAGGACAAACCAGCTGGACATGTTCGATAAAATCGCCTAAAGGGGAGAAATCATAGAAAATTCAAAGACATTGGCGCTACCTAATTATATAAAATAGAAAGATGGCGATTTGTGACGATCATCTTGGGTAGGAGGCGACTTCCTGAAGCCTCTTCGATGAGAGACTAACTCGGCTAATTTCTACATCAGATAAACTTAATAGTTGCAGTGGGCCATTCCACTCACAAGATTCGAGTTGATGAGAATCGAAGCTGTGACCACTGCAATGTTATACTACCACCATAACGCGAAATTGCCTAGGCAACAAGCCAATTACAGAAAACTTGACTAGCGGAAACGACGTCATAGAGTCAGAGAAAGTTTCGCCTGTTGGCTACATCATGTCCATCCAGAGGTGCCACAAATGACCCCCCCCCCCCCCAACCCCTAAGGAGATTCGAATGAAGTGCATTTAGTTAAAAGCGTCACGCTTCCACCCTCCACAGGATCATTATTGCCTAATTGTAACGATTAAAAAAGACCTTCGATGTCCAAAATTTGGTCGTCTTAGGTCCATTGAACACGAGGGGGATTGAAACAATGTAAAAAGTAGTATCATTGCTAGTAATAGTATCGGGTTCCACGCAGGTCTCATCACAGAACTGCTGAAAAGCAGGAGAATACGTATCTTGGGAAGGGAAGTAAAGAACGAATTGTCGCATTTCCAAAATGACCAAATCTACCCCCCCCCCCCCAACCCCAAAACGACCTCCTCTCCGATATAGCTACACATTCAATTGTGTGTCAGATTTGTATTTCCCAAATTATACACATTAATAAACAACTGATTACCAAGCGACTCCACTTAATTCCTATCAAACCACAAACGTTAAAGTTGATTCTTCGTCTTGCACTTAAAGATTACGACGTCATTGCCAGTTGCAGTCAAAATAGCAATAAAAGAACTTTCAGCACCCTTCATAGACTTTTGGGCATAGGAGCTTGATAATGCACTGACAACTCACCATCCACACGAGAAGATTTCGACTTATTGATGGCATTCAAGTAGCAACCGAGATTGTCATCGCAGCGCAACTCGTCCCAAGATAACTGCAAAATAAAGGGGGAAGAACAAAGTAAAATAACAGATGGAAAGGGTGCTTTGGAAAAGGCAAGGACGATCATTATTATTATTATTATATCAAATGGCAGGGGTCTTGAAGGTTATCATTAGCCCTCTAGTTGACTTCAGGCTTCACAGAGAGGAAGGAACATCAAATTGAAAAAAAGTCGAGAGGGGAGGGGGAACAGAAGAGTGTTTCAAAGATGTAAAAGAGACAGACACAAAGGTAGAAAAAAGGTGAGGTGAGTACTATGAATGTAGTCGAATATGGCATAGGGTGAGGTGATGGTAGTTTGAAGTGAGAAGTCAACTGCCGGTTAATAGACTTTTTTGCCGTATGTGTATACGTTGCCCAGAGTGCACCACGTGGAGGTAAGTCTATCGCACACCCCTACAAGGACGATCACTTGGTCCAGGAACACATCCATTTCTCACATTGGCTTCAATTTTTTGTTTTTGAATTTTTACTTTAGAAAAAGGTACTTTGCCAATTTCAACAACTTTAGAGTTAAAGTAGGGTAGCCGACAAAGACAGAACAATTGGAATAAATAAGAACTAAGGGAGGCTTAATGTGTGGCACCGGTAATGGTCAAACGCAACGCAACAGGATATATTAATTTAAAATGGGTCCACCTCTCTTTTTTCCTCATTCGAACAAGAATTGTTGTTGTTTTCTTTGTGAACAATTTCAAATATGCCTAAATAGCTAGAGTCGCTAAAATACTCAATACAGAATAATTTTAAAAGTAGCCTCTTGGACAAGGTGACAAAAAGGGGACTTCAATGACTCAACTCGTTACTAAGCCAGTTTTAACTGAGCCAACTAACAGCTTCGTTCACTGAGTCTACGCTGAATGAGCAGCCCTTTGCTGGGTAGATGGGTCTAATAATTGCTGGACCACAATAAAATATTTGCTAATTAAATGTGGCACGTCATACAAAGATGTGGCTAAACAACTGACCTGGCCTAGAACGACCTCGACTTCATTGATTTCAGGAACTCCTTCCACAGATGTAGAATTGACTAGGATGCAATTCTGTTGAGCGGTCAGCAACTCAAATACGTTCTCCCCCATTCGACCTGAAGAAGAAGGATCTTTTCAAGGTACTGAGAAATGGAAATGACCAAATGAGTCCTATCAATTGGATCCTTTAGCTACTTAAGAGGATTGTACACGATTAGCTAACAAACTATAGACATTGCTGATAAGAGGTTTTACTCAGAAACCAATGGAACAGACCCTGAGATGATGCAATGTTGGTCAGATTACAAGGGTTTCCCAAAAATCCCCCCACTCGGGGGCGGTAAAACAAAAATTCCATTTCATGAAACTACTTTTGGAAACAAATAACCGCCCACTCGAATAAGCACTCGTGGGATTTTATTCGGATGGGCCAACTTTCGGAAAATGCTGGTAGCATCTATGCAAGCATAAATGGATTTGTGAGTTTATTATTGCAACTCTTACCTCCATGTGGTGCACCCTGGGCAACGTATACTCATGAGGCAAAAAAGTCTATTAACCGGCATTAGACTTCTAACTTCAAACTACCATAGCCCGACTGCTTGTCATATGCAACCCCTTTCAAAGTACTCATCTTACCCTTTTCTCTACCTATGTCTGTCTGCCTCTTTTTCATCTGTGAATCGCTCTTCTGTTCCCCACCCCTCGACTTTCTTCTACTTTGATGAACCTTCCCTCTGTGAAGCCCGAAGTCAGCTAAATGGCTAATGATATCTGTCAAAACGCCTGCCATTTGAAATAAATAAATAATTGCAACTTTGTCATACTTGTCAAAAGTAAAATGCTTAAAAAACAGTGTATGCATAAATGATGACATTGGTGGTAAATATGTATAAAGAATCCTTAAATTCAGGAATTAAAGCTTTAAATCTTACATTTTTGACCACTTTAATTACAACATTAAAATGCGCGCACTATAAGTTAGAACAAACTTAAAATAACCTATAACGTTAATACAACGAATTTGTAACAATTGAGAAAATAACTCACCATTTTTAA